GGCGAGGCATGTAGAATGTAGAATGTTTAGGAGGGGAGTTAATCACCGCGACCTTATAGATTTATTGTGTGTTCCCCTTTCTTGAGTTATAACGAGTTATAACTCATCATACAGTCTCAGATCTTTAACAAAAGCCAGTATCTGAGACGGCTCCACAAAGGCCAGCTCTCCATCCTCGACATTAGCCGTACCAAAGTTCATGGCACGAATGGTTGTCGTCTCGGCGCACTCAGTGATATGGTGTTCTGGTGTTCGACGAGGCATACTTCAATTAGTGATATTTTAGAAGAATATTACTTCTAATTTAAAGTATCTATCTCGTTTTGGTCAATTTGTTGCCACTCCTCTCTTAAATAATTTTCCAGATCCGCTCTGGGTTCGAATTCTGGAACTTCGACAGAAAAACGTTAAGCTTTCAAAGCGGTAAACGAAAATATTCGATTGAGCGGAAAGCCAAGCAGTCGATTTTAGTATTCTCGTTACCGTGCGAATCGTTTTCTGGATACGTGTTGAGCCACATATTGGCAGCATCGCAATTTCTCAGGTATCTAATAGTTTACTAATAGTCAAATGTGGACCAAACCAAGATCAAACGATAAAAAATGTCAATTTTACGTGAATCAACCTATGTTTCTATGGATATGTCAATATTCTTATTATACGAGGGAAACGTTGAAGACGATTCTCAGCATTTTCGATGTTTTGAACAATATTTCTAGCTGCCAAGTCGTAAATTATCAATTACCTTATTGAGGAATTAATAGAAGAAGAACTAGTTTTCACTAAAGAGCAAGAGAACGGACAAAATAACATTTTTTTTCTATTTTTACTAACAGTTCGACAAGCAAAACGATCATTTAAAGACGCATTCTCACGACTGGTGTACTTGACAAACATTTGTTATTGGAATATACTTGCCATGTCGCGTCGTGAACTGTTTCCTTGGTCACTCGTCGCGTCCCCACTCTCTGTCGGTAAATATAGCCCGAGTCAAAGGATCACAATAATTATTCGTACACTTGCCAAGTGTACTTGGTCAGCCTTTTCTATACTGGCCGAGGCGCAAAAAAACGACTGCGCAAATAATTGTACTGTTATAGAGTATGTCCCGTTTATTTCCGGATCGTAGGGTTTTTCGATTTAATTGCGGATAATTTAAAACCTTAAAACAATAAAGATTATATAATATCAAATTTACATTGTAACTTCAATATTGGCGACATACCTAAATTGTTCTCACAGCAATAAATGGAGTGGACAAATAAAGACAACACGGAAAAACAGATATGTCATATTGTCATAGAAATTAAGATAGCGATACAACTTTATAGAAAATGTTCGACGGAAATCCGTCATTCGAGAAAAAAGAAAGCAATAATACGCTTAGTCCCAGAGATATTACAGCTTGGTTATTTTGCCGCACAAGGGAAAAATCAGAGTAGTCCTCGCGTAAATGGCAAAAACTAGAGATGTCCTTACGCATGGTCGACAAACATGCATCTTGCAATTAGTATTATATGTTATAAATTTACGTATTGTAATAAAAACCGACTTAATAATAATAATAATAAATATTAATTTTCTTCCTACAAAAAAAATAATAGTTTAGATTTAGGTTTACAACCTTTAATTGGACATCCCTTGTTTTTTTCCCTGTTTTGTTTTGCATTTTGACATTTTTATTTCGGTATAAGGTAGAATATGGCGATAATTCACAATATTAATAATTCAGAATTGATTTAGGTAGTAATATATATTTTTCTAATTATTCAACAGAAAATAACATATTTCTTTAAAAACACTAAATTGCATTTTTCTCGGCTCCAATTAAAATAGACAAAACTGGTTTTCCCGTGTAGTCTTCAAATGATGTTGTTTTGGAATTTATGGACTGATACGAAAATATGGATGGCCAAACATATAAATCGTATTGCAATGTACAGTAAAAGAACTTAAAAAGAAAAAGAATCACTAGCAACGACAATTTCGGGACGACCGGTATCCATCGATGCGACCTTAGGATGCGACTATACTGTTTACTTGAAATGGATTTAAACAATGTTTGTGCTGGCGTACTTGTTTAAATGGACACGTCGTGTGAGCGCCTCACTTGCCGATGTTGTTTACAAAGTGGGGACTGTATAGCGTGCCAATATTGGCGTACTTGCCAAGTAGACCAGTCGTGAGGGTGCGCCTTAAGGTAGCCGTTTTCCAATCGTTCAGCGCAATGGGTAAAGACGATAAGCGCATCAAATGAGAATAATCAAATCGGTAGTTAAGTGCACGCTAAGCACTTAAGCTAGCACTCGGGCTCTGGTTTGGAACATCATTGCTCGGTTCATAACACGCCTTTTTAATTAGCATATCCCATATGTGCTCTATAGGATATAATTAAGTCAGGAAATTGGGCAGGTAACGGCAACAAGGTAATATTATGATGATTCAAAAATAGTCTAACGGTTCTCGCTACGTGCATGCGTGCAATATCCTGCATTAGTATAATTTTTTCCCCGATTTTCGCTGCCTGAGAACAATTATTGTTTGAAGAATTGTGTCACGATAAGCAACAGCCATTAGAAACCTCTCGACGCGGAACTGAAGAATCTGGAAGACTCCATCCGTAACTTAGAATGGGTGTCCTCCAGCGGTCTAAAACACTCGAAAAAGTTCCTCAGAACTTACGACAGAGAA